CCGGCTTCGGGGCGGGACCCTGTTGCAGGGTGTGTGCTGGGTGTGGGGTCCCAGCAGTGCGTGGGGGACACAGTCCTTCTGCAGTCGGGGTCCCGTGCAGCCGGGCCGTGTCCCCGTTCATAGCTGCCTTCTAGCTACGCGCCCAACCTGTGCTCCCCACTCGCCTTTTCCTGCCGCGCGCGAAAAGGGACCCAAAGATGAGGTTCCCCAACCCACCGGGCATGGGGAGCAATCTCCGCGGTTTCTCAGGGGCGTGGGGAGGTATGGTCCAGAGTCCCAGGGAGCGGGGGTAAGGGGCAGTCGGGATCCCTGGCTGGACTTGAATCTCACAGGGCGCACTTCTTCAAGGCAGGAGTGGTGGCCTAAAGAGGTGCTTAGGATGGGGAAGTTCCCCCAAAGAAACGATTTCTGTGAATGCGTCCCACAGATAGATCTTTGAGCCTGCCAGGGAGGTGTGAGAGAGGCCTTGGGGGACTCCCCACTTGCTTCCCACCGGAATGTCCTTGGAGGCCAGGCCCCCTGGGCGCAGGGGCGGGGGAGACCCAGGGCTGGGGTGCAGGCAACCCCTTCCCTGCCTCCCCGCCTTCCGCCTTCTGCCTGGGCTGGCTGAGTAAGCGTGGCTCACAACGCATCGCTCTGCAGAGATGAAGTCAAAGTGAAGTCACTGGGGAGGAGGGGCTGCCAGGAGAGCAGGCTTGGATCCAGCCCAGCTGAGATGTCCATTTCTCTGTCCACAGTGGGCGGCAGAGCCAGAGGTCTGCCAGCCAGGACAGCCACCATCCTGTACCCTGGGCCCTGTTCTGCCTGCTGTCCACCCGTGGAAGCCGAACTGGCCACGGGATCCCTCCAGTGGTTTAGAGGCTGAGGCCAAACCCTCAGCCCATGCCCAGGGAGGCCTGCTTAGGGAGGAGGCTGAGACTCTAGTTGCAATGGGCTCCAGGGCTGCCTCTGGGAGGACCAGGGAGAAAGGGGACTGGATCCATTTCTGTTCAAAGACCCCTTGCCAGGGCTTGTCTGACCTTAGATAGGCTGAAGTCTGGCTGGGCTGTTCCATCCCTGGGTCCCCCTGTGCCATGGTGTGGTCTTTGCCCTCTCCATCAGAGAAGGCCTGGGCGTCTCCATGTGAATCTCTGCACACATGTGTACACACACACAGGCATTGCTCACACATAGGGATGCATTTGCTTTCATGCATGTTCCCACTCCTATGGTTATGGAGGGAACTGCTCAGAGGGAGAGGCACCAAGCCAAAGGCAGAAGGGTGTTGGACTGCTGGCCTGGGTCCTCAGGGAGGAGGGCCAGAACCTCAGAGGGAAGAGGGAGTGTCCTCACCTGGCCCAGAAGTGCCATGCCAGGCCCTCCTGTGGCAGGATGGAGCTATGGGCACCTGTACTACCTTGCAACCCACCTTGCTGCCTTCTTTCCATGCACGATAGACTAAACCTCAGTTTCCCCAGTATACACTTTTGCCTCTTGGAGGAAGAAGAAAACATCAAGAGGGTGAGGCCAGCATGCCATATCTCAGCCTGGGCAGGAAAAATATACACTGTTTTGCCTTTTTTTTTTTTTTTAAGAGTGGGAGAATTTATTGGGGAAGAGGAATAGCTCCTGAGAGACAAGAGGGAACCTGAATAAATAGCCAATGAGCCCACTTCTCTTAATAAGTTTTATAGAGCAAAATCATGAGGTGAGTACAACATGGGTCAAGACTGTAATCAACCAATAGGATTACAAGTAAGCCACTTGGCTAATATTGATCCAATAGTAGCAAGGGTATATGGATGGCATAATAACCTTGGTTGATAATCTATAGTCTTAGTCTTGTCTTTAGTTTTAATCTTAGTGTTGGTGGGAGAGGATAGCCCACCTCTAATGAGATAGTAGTTTATTTATATGGAGACTTCAAAAGGATGGTAATAATAATAATCTCAAACTTCCATTTATCCCTTAGAAAAGTATGTAATTCTGGCCATTATGACTTCAATCTTCTGCAGATGTGCTTCTAGCCACAGTTTTGATGTGTTCTCATCTTCTGCACTGACTCCCTGGAGGGCCTATCCCTGTCTGACTGCCTATAATGGTTCTACCTAACTTAGCTGTCAATAATATTCCTCCTTCTGGAGAGGTACCCCTGACTGTCGTGAGGAAGCAGGGCATGATGACTGCTCTGGCTACTTCTGGCTGAAGGGAGTCATAGTTGTGATCAGCAGTCAGAGATACTCTCCAGAGAGTCTGTCTAAAGGCCCATGACAGATGTCAGTTGTTCTCATCTTGAGTAGGTGTATATCTTTAAGTCTAAATGAGTCACAATCCAGAATCCATGAGACAAAAGCAAACTCTTTACCCCCTTCCAATTATCTCAGCGGGACCTCCAAAATGATACAGGGGAAAAAATGTAACTGCCAACCGGCTAGATGTCAGATATGTTGGGTTCATATTCCCTGAAGTCAAAGAATACATTCTAAGGAACAATAGAGGTGAAGAAAAGGAATATTTGCACTGGGGATTTAGCTCAGTGGTTCCATTGCCTGCTTTTCAGGTCCCAAGGTCCCAAGTTTGATCCCTGTTACCAAAAAAATAAAAATAAAAAAGAGTAGGAATATTTATTGGGGAATAGGAATAGCTCCCGAGAGACAGGAGGAGTCTTGAATGGGTTGCCCTCATTTTTTTTTTTTTTTTTTTTTTTTTTTTTGGTACCGGGGATTGAACTCTGGACCTTGCACTTGCGAAGCAGGCAGTGGAACCACTGAGCTAAATCCCTAGTCCCCCACTTCTTTATTATGTGGTGCTGGGGAGCACCTGGGGCACACAAATTGAGCACTGAGTAGGAGCTCTAGCCCTATCCCTGAACCACATCTGTGGAGAGGAAGTTCCCCAGGCTTCTGGTGCAGGCTCCTGCTAACCTTGAATTTGCCACCTGGAATTGTGCAACTGCACAAATCACTTCACCTCTGAGCCTCAGCTTTGGCATCTGCCACATGGAGATGAGCTCGTGTCCTCCTGTACTGGCTGTGAAGGTCAGTGGTTGGCAGCTCACAGGGTCTCCTGCAGTGAGACAGTGTGAAGGCCACCTAATGGGACTCTGCATCCAGCCCCAAAACACAAGGGAAGGAGCATACGGGTTCTGCTCTGCCTGGCCACTTGTCGTGTGCACACTTGCGGTGGGGAGGAGCTTCTGAGGGGAGGCAGAGCTGTGTGCTGGACCACAGGCCAGCTGGTATGGGCATCCAGAGACACTAAGATGGCCAGGGCAGGGACAGTTGGGCATCATGCAGGGGGTGGTCCCAGATCCCAGAGCACAGCCCAGGTTGGGGCACTGGAGGCCAGTCAGTGACCAGGAACTGGTGGTTGAGACAACCCAGAGGGGTGTGGACTAGGCACTAGTGCCTTCTGTGAGCAGTGTAACTCTGCTGGAAGCATAGATGCTGAGTTATTGAACTGCCTGTTGCCTCAGTTTCTTTTCCTTGAGGTGCTGAGGTGGGTCAGGTCTGTTGTTCTTGGCCTTGCTGGTGACCCCCTTCCAGAGCAGCTGCAAGGAGAAAGCTACAGATTGCCCCCCTTGGCCTGGAGGATAACCCTTGTCAAATGTGCAAATGTACCTCCTCATTAGCATACAGGCCCCCTCGGGCTCTCAGGGGTGTGTGTGTGTGTGTGTGGTGGGGGGCAGGTGGCCTGGACTGCTGACCCTCACTGGAGCCTGTCTGGGCCCTGCGTGGCTGGGCCTGTTAGGGTTAGGAGTGACAGTGTCCCCAAAACTGGAGATCTCAGGTGGAGCTCTGGAAGGTGTCTGGATGACAGATCTCTGACCACATCAGGGAACCCATTTGCTGAGGGGTGCCATTCCTGGGATGTGGGGTGTCATTCAAGGAAGCGAATCATGGGGATGTGACTTTAAGGTCCTATGTAGTCCCAAGCCCTTCTGCTTTCTGCATCTGGGCTGCTCTGGGGATGCAGCTCTGCTTCGAGACACCCTTCCACCATGTTGTGTCCCTCTCACCCGGAACCCTCTATAACCTCAAGCCCAAATAAGCCATTCTTTCTCTGTGTTGTTTATGTCAGGAGAGCAGATTGACATGGTGCCTGGGCAGCCCTGACTGCCCAGTCAAAACAACCCACCACGTGCTGTCTCCGCAGACCCCAAAGGCTGGGTAGAGCCACCACATGCTCCCCATCCTCTCTCTGTCCTGCTGCCCTTCATGTGTCCCTATTGAGCTACATTTCTCCTCTGAACTCCTTCATCCTCCTGTCCCCTTCTCTAGGAGGAATCTGCTCTGTTGAGGCTACTTCTGCAGCCTGGTTTCCTGCTCTGCACTATGGGGACAGTTCAGGGTGACTGCAGGGGATGGGCTCAGCAGACTGATTTCTAGACACTCCACCTAGGCTCCCTGGGGGTGGCCAGCAGGGGTGCAGTGTGGGGTGGTAGTCTGGAGAAGTTTCCTGCTTTGGGGCTTCTGTGGGAAGGCAAGTCTTGCCTCCCTGAGGCTGCCTGAGGTCAAGCTGGCCAGTCCACACGGAGCCCCAGGCAGGGCCACCCTAGATAGTAAGTACCTTACCTGGAAACTGTGCAGGCTGATGCTGGAGGATGTTGCTAGGGCAGCACAGAAGGCCAGGTGGCCTTAATCTCTATTGGCCTACTTTCCTCTTGTCTGGGTTTCCCACCTGTCCAGATAACAACTCACACCTGTGTGTGAAACACAAGCCCAGCTGCCACAACTAACAGCCCTGGCTCAGCCCTGCTAGGGTAGAGAGCCCCAGGACCTCAGAGTTGTCTGCAGCCACAGATCTCC